AACATATAATCATCATGTAGGGGTATTGTTACCAAAAAGGCACAAAATGAGGAAGTCGGGATTTTTTTGTTTTGGTGGGGGGGGGGGGGGGAAAGCGGTTATGCACCATACCATAGCCCGAGCTACGGCGTGTGTGGGACTCCAGGTTGTCTTGAGGAGACCACCTAATACCCACTAAACTCTAACCTCCGCGTGGCCCGACTCATCAGCGTCTCGGTAGGTCATGTGTTGTGCATGACCTGCGGAATGCTACAACGTCTCCTCATGTGTTTCAGTCTCTGGGAACGCCTAGTTGGTTCCCTTTACCTCGCACAGTGCTATCGATGTCGTTAAGCGAGCATCGATATAGAGTTTGCTATGTTCTCTTGAAACCCTTGTTTCCGAAAAATCAAGAGTTTCAGGTCCTCTACTACTAGTATGTTACCTGGTCCTGATGGGTCCTGGTCCTGATGGGTCCTGGTCCTGGCGGGATCTGGTCGTGGTCTTCCTGGTCCTCGTCTTCTGCTTCCACGCCGTGGGGGGGGGGAGCAACCGCGGGTTCTGCTAGTCTCTTAGCCAAGGTTCCAGTTAGCGGGTGCCAACTGGGACCTTGGTCTAGGGTACCTGGCTCTGCGGTTGTGAGGCCTCTCGTCCAGATCGTAGTACATGAGGAGTCGTAGCTGCTCGTTCGGGTGGTCCTGAGCTTTCTGGAGGGTCTTCTCCGCTTTTTTCATCATGTACTCGTGAATTGTGTCCCAATGCAGGTCTCTCAAGGTTGACTTTCTTATGTAGGATGGTGCACTGGTGGCGATCCGGAGCAGCTTCATCTCTAGAGCAGCAAGTCGCTTGCGGTAGCTGGAAGCAGCGTATCCCCAGACCGCGGAGGCGTAAGCGAGCTGAAGTCTGGCGATGGCCTTCATCAGCCATAGTCTCTAGCGGCATCCGGCTGTGTCTACCCAGTAACGGTTACAGTTGGGCCATGGCTGCTCTGGTCTTTGCGATGACAGCTTCTATGTGGTCTTTCCAGGTTAGGGACTTGTCAAATACGATCCAAAGATATTTGACTTTGTCGCTCCACTGGATATCTTCGTCGAAGATGGATGCTTCGAGAGGTCTTTCAATCCTTCTTCGTTGGATGAAGATTGCCTGCGTTTTCTGGACGTTGATGCGGATTTTCCATTTCACGCACCAGTCCTGGATGTGGTCCAGTTAACCCTGTAGTCTGCTACGGATGATCTCGAGTCGTCGATGCTTGGCGGCTATAGCAGTGTCGTCTGCATATAGGGCCAGCATTGTGTCAGCTGTCTTCGGTACGTCGTAGATGTTGTAGTGCAGGGGGGCTAAGGCTGACCCCTGGGGCACGCCAGCTGCCTGCTGTCGTCTTGTTGAGTGGCATGTACCAATCTTCACCGTGAGCCATCTTTGTGTTAGATTAAGTCGGGAACGTGAGCGCAGGATATATATTTTATATTACAATTTTTGGGTCGCAGAACCCAAATCCGTGGCCTTTTTTTAACTTTGACAAAAAACGACTAATAAAAAAGATCTTAAATCTGTTGCCCGTCTATATGATCGAGATGGAAGCTTGTTTTCTGGGTAAATCGGGTTCGTTGTTTCTAAGTTCGATGTCGATACAGTGCTCAAGGGAATGGTAGTTTTGTTTTGGAAGCTCAAGCAGCTCGTTCCCGAGACTACAGACTAAGAAAAAATATTCCACGTGCGAACTCATTAAGCATTTCCATGAGTCTGACCTTTTTTTACGACGGAGAGTTACGGAAAAGTGGTTGCTCCAATCGGATAGATGGAGCATTTTTTTCAGCTGCCACCGTAGAAACTAAGTTAATCGCTGAGTGACTTTACTATCAGTATTCGGCATTCTTTGAAGGTAGCTTTGTTTGAGAAAGCTACCAGCTCGATATTCAGAACTAATTTCGTCCGCCTTATCCATGTTCGATGTCGTTGTTGTTGTTGCCGCTGAATGGAGCTTCAAACATGCCTTAAGCTATATGCAAATTAAAGTTGTGCTTTTTTATTTTCACCGTTTCTCTACATTAATAATTCTGCTACAAATAGTGACGATTTAAGTATACTGTCTTGAACGGGAACATGTTTTACATATGTTTCTCCATATAGATTGATATACGAGTGCAAAGTTGGGTTGTTCACGATATTTGTCGATTATTCAAAAGATGATGTATCTATTCAATTCTCACAATTAAAACTATTTTAAACGAGTATCGTTTGGAACGTATCTAACTCGTCTTGCTTAAATTATGCAACAGTGTGTGATAATAAAAGGCTGTCTTCAAGATCTGAAACAGAAATAAGTATATATACCTATATCTAGTACTTACTCGATTGGAGTAATATGAAGACCCTTACATGTAAGAAAGAACATCCAGGGATGACAGTGAAGTTTACTGCGAAAAAATTCAAACGTTTTTGTATTTGCCATTGAATATGTCAAATCCATCTTGGCTGACCTCGATGCATCGATCCAAGAACTATGAAATGCGGCTTGTGGAATTTTCTCAATGTGCCAAAAAGAAAGTGAAAATTGAGTTAGGTATTCTGATCTAGATACAGCCAAGGGTATAGAAACTGCTACTCAGGGAATGGACTGGACGTCAAAACAATGTTGTATCTTCCCTTCAAGAGAATAGTATCCTAAGATGCATTATGCATTGCTGCTATTTTAATTCTCAAAGCTGACCTCCAAATGACATCTGAGGTCATTACCCAAGTCACACCTGAGGTCATTGAGAAATTGCTTTCTTGAAACGCTGAGCCTTTTCACTGAGCATTTTTTCTAAAAAATGCATGGCTGCCAGGTTTTCTGGACGTTCGTGAACTTTTAGACGTAACAGCAGGTCAAAATCATTGAACCACTTATGACCGCTTGACTTAATGTGTGAAAATGAATTCTCGTGAAGAATTTTGAGCTTGACACGAAAGTGTTGTCGAAAATGGTGGTTGTCATTGGAATTTACCAAGTAGACGGTCAAATGAAACCTGAGGTCATTGTCAAGATCATATTTAGGGTCAAATTGCTTTTCTGATACCTTGGAATTTTTTAAAACCTCTTATCAAGAGAATAAGTGGAAGCTAAGTTTTCGGGGTATTTGGACATAATCTGAATTACCACTCATTAAAAGTGTGAAGGTCACCCACTGATATGATTTTATAACAAAGTATAGCAGATGAGTTGATTCAATAGATAAGTGCTTTCCGGATTAATAATGATTACAGGAAACAAAAACCCTCATAACAGTTACAAAAGATACTTAAAATGACGTAAGTACTAATTTAAATATCTAGAATAAATATGTTTATCAAAAAGAAATGAAAAAATCCACTTGAACGTACACTCGGTGCCTATAAAAGCCCTACACAACTCTCAGGTTTTGTATAGCATCAAACCGTCCTTTCACACAATAACAGTAGATCAACGATCCAACAATTCAAAATGAAATTCTTACTTTGTGTCTTTGCAGTAGTTGCCTTAATGGCCCTATTCGTCGTTGCTGAGGCAGAAGGTGAGTTTAGAGCTAAATTTTCCTACCTGTTCCTCCGCTTGTCTTGTAGTGGTAGAGGTTATGATTTTAAATGATTCTACTGGTCGCGGTTGACAGACTTAGGCTGGAATTCAAGGGAGTTAAGGGGAAGTATGGCTAGTCGATTTGAACTTCTGACGATCTTAACCTCTATAGAATAGAAAATTATCCTTCTAACGACTCTTATTTATATGAATTTCTTGTAATTAACTGGATTTGGGCAATAACACGGAAGCCGGAATTTGTCGAAGATATTGTCGAGTGTATTTAGTTCAGATACAGTTAGGTTTGTGTATAAAAATGAAACCACAATCAGCAATATTTTCTTAGTAAACTTGAGGACACAATTCCAACAAAACTGCAAGCTAGTGTTGTGATTCTAATGAAATATTTATAGGACAAAAAGAAGGTACTTAAAAATCCGAATATCAGAATAGAAAAGAGACTGTAAGAATTTCCTCCTAGTTCAACACAAGTTTTAAGAATGTCATGTACTGAGCTTTGATACTTACGAGGTCCTATGCAGAAATGATATTTAGGAAATGTTGAAAATCAAAAGACACAATAATGGAGTTAATAAGATAACCAACCTAGCATATTTAATTGTTAGGATACATAATAATACATCGTTATTTCATGAAAATAAAGTAACGGCCACCAGATAATATTTATCAGCCCCAAAAAGGCAAAACATCAAATATCGCGAAAAATAGATCAAATTTTCACTATTTATTGATTAGTTGCAGTCTAAATGATAATATCTAGGATTGTTGTTGGACCACCACAGCTTCTAACTAAAATGATGAGTTAGCTATAACTTCCTTTATTCTGATAAAAAAACAAAAACAATCATACGTTTTGTATTTCTATGTGTGTCTTTGCCGAGCATTGCTATATTGATAATGAAATTTAGGGATGTGTTTTAATAGTTTGTTTTACATAATATCTTAACTACAATAAGTATTTTTAGTAGTAGTAGCAAAGTGTTTTATTTTTGTTTTGTAGAGCCCTGAAGAGGCAAATAAATTATTCCTAAACGTCGGCATCCTCGTAATAGGAAACTGTGTTTCCTTGAATCCCAAATCCAATTAATTACAAGAAACGTCTATTATATCCCCTATAAAATTTTTAGTTCCACTGTAGTTTTGGTTTTGGCTCGACATACAAACCTTTGAATATTAAACATGTCCATAAGTTCGTCTGATTATTATACAATTGTGTATTCTTAGCTTGAAAGCTGCTTTAATATCAAAATCCCTTTAATACAAATACTGAATTAGCTTCTTTGAACACCTTTATCACCATCATCGTCGTACTTTCCTTCTTATTTTCTCTTTTCTCCATAAGAGACTACAGAAATGTCAGGTGGGTAAGGTGACTATCGTACTTTTCCAACGTTTAAGAGTGAAGTCCTTTCATTAAATTGCTTTCTACAAAATTATTTATATTACAGAGATGGCGCCAAGGCTATTCCAAGGATTTGACAGTCTTGCTGGAACAAAATGCAACGATGAGGACTGCTATGATAGCTGCAAAGAGCAGTCTTATACATTTGGTTTTTGCGTCCAAGGAAAATGTCAATGTTTCCCATTGTAGAGCATTGGATAATTCATCACTTCTTATTATACAGGAATCTAAAATAAATTAGTTTATTGAAAATACGCTGTTATACGTCTTTTCTACTACACCGACACCTTTTCAACTATATAGCGCAGAGATATGAGGCTACAACGGTTGCAATATTGTTAATGGCATTTAGAAATTCAAGTTTCTTCCAAAGTGTTCAGGAGCCCGTCGGGAGGTGATTGGGATTATTTTTTTATACCAATACAAGGGAAACATATAGAATATAAGGAAGAAAAGGTCTTAAAACTGTTTGCGGTTAAAATGGGCACGTTTAGGGTGCGACAGTAATATATTTGAAGTAAATATGTTATAAAAGGGCCTTAGTCATGTACAATGGAAATGTGGCTGTCGCAAAATGAAGAAAATATGTCATCTGTGGTTTTTACAACCGCATCACCAATTTTGTTTATCCTTGAACATTATTTCTAAGTCCTCTGAAATAAAACAATGATTGTGGACATTTCCTTCGTCGCCACTGAACTAGTTTTCAAAAATCAGAAAGCTTATTTGTTCTTGAAATAGTAGTCACCTTGTGTAAGAGTTCCATCCAAATCCCAAGCAGGACTTTCTAAGTTAACCAAAAGGCTAATTATTAGCGGACAGACAGAAAGATAGGCGGAAATAGATGTCATGGCCTTACGTGGTGTAAAGTTATATGAGATTCAAACACCATAACTTATTTTCTTGCTTCAGAGATGATACTAGTGAGGGCGGTTCGTAGCTCCTTTGCCCGAAGCTGTACGATCTATACCAGTGGTCGCCTAAGCGTCGATCACGAGCTACCGGTAGCTCGTAGAGGCAATTCTGGTGGATCTCAACATATTTTAAGAAGGTTTAATAACCATAGAAGCTTCCGTAAATTTTGTAAACTCTCATAATAAACACAAGCAGCGGCAAACAATGCGGTGAGCGATCTGTTCGAGAACGATCTCGATAAACGGTAAACGGAATCAGATAGACGTGAATCGACTTCGGATTCGGTATTGGCAGCCCAAAATGCGTGGAATAAAGGTCGTTCGAACCGCATTTAAAGCATTTTACATATAATTTACATGTATTGTTACCTAAAAGGCACAAAATGGGTCAGTCGGGAACGTTAGCGAAACTTGTCTTTTTGGGTCGCTGAAACCGAATCCATGGCCCATTCAGTCCGAAAATGCCTCGTTTTCGAGATATTGGCAAGCATTCAACTTTGTCAAAAACGACGAATAAAAGACATCTAAAACACATTCCAAATTTGGTGTCTATACAGTGCTAGAAATGACGGCTAGCCCGGATAAACAGTTTTCTGTCAACTTTTCACCCTAGACCGAGTCTGATGAATTCTCGTGAAGAATTTCGAGCTCGACTCGAATGTGTTGTCGAAAATGGTGGTTGTCATTTGAATTTACAAAGTTGACCGTCAAATGAAACATGAGGTCATTGTCAAAATCATATTTCGGGTCAAATTGCTTTTCTGATACCCTGGAATATTTTAAAACCTCTTATCTAGAAAATGCGTGGCAGCTAGGTTTATGGGGGTAATCGTATATTATCTGAATTACCACTCATGAAAAGTGTGAAGGTCACCAACTGATATGATTATATAACAAAGTATAGTAGTTGAGTTGATTCAATAGATAATAATAATTACAGAAACAAAAACACTCATAGCAGTGACTATAAGGTATTATACAGGATGGCGCATCGAAAACGAAACAGACGCATTTGCTGGCAGCTCAGTTTTTTTTTTGAAAAACGCTCAGACCCGTCGATTTTGGTTTTCGAGGGGGACACAAGTTTGGCAAAAAATCACGTTAACAGGTACAGCCCCCTGGGCGGGGGTGACACCAACCCTAAAATCTTAAATGGAAAGGGGGGTCGAGTGATACCTTATTTTAAAGATCTTTTAATTCCCTTTATAATGACGTAAAATACATGAGCTTCAGTTCAGTAGTTTTGAAGATTTATTGATTTAAAGCTTAAAGTAGACTTTATTAGGTACATTAGTTTGTAATACTTTGCGCTGAAAAACCATCTCATGAAATATCTGGTTGAAAAATGCTTCTACTTTCTACATGAGTTTTATTAACACATGAAAGTATCTGTTTTTTAAATCTTTTAAGCTGTTAATCATTCGTTATCAGTGAATTGTCTATTATCGTGGAGTAAATGTATATTAATTTCACTTTTTATTCGAGTTTCAACGAAAGTATGGATGATTTATTTTTAAGCTTTTAACCATTTGTCCTCACTGCTCGATGTTTATTTATTATGAATTTCTAACAGATTCTCCTACCGTTTTTCTTTGTATCAGCTTCAATGATTTTTACCGGCTAGACGAACACTTTTTGTGATAAAAACAGTCGCTGTATATGTACATATTTTTACCGTTACAGATTGAACACATTGCGATTCTTGCGCTGTACCTATAATGTGATTTAACCTGTTAAAATGCTTTGTAATTGTAATGTCCTTATTTATTTTATAATTATAAGTATTTTTCCGGCAAATTTGGTCAAACGCATATATGACCCTCAAATTGACATTGACAAGTCTTATATCATGTAACATGATCTAATAGGACAATAAACTATCTATCTATCTACTTATCTATCTATGCTACTCAGCCAACATCATTAGAAGACCTGCGACAAAGAATTGTGAATGAGTGCCTTCAAATTACTCCTCAAATATTGCAAAATGGGCGACAACGTTTTGATCAAATTCTTTATTATTGCATGGAGAGTCATGGTGGCCATTTTCAACATTTACTTGCCTAACGGGTCAGTTCATTCTTCATTTTTAAATTACTTTGCTGCCAAATGTATTGATCTCCACTAATGATGATGTATTAGCTTTATTTGAGCTTTAAATCAATAAATCTTCAAAACTACTGAACATTAATTTTATATCATTATAAAGGGAATTGAAAGACCTTCAAAATAAAGTATCACTCGACCCCCCTTTCCATTTAAGATTTTGGGGGTGGTGTCACCTCCGTTTAAGGGGCTGCACGTGCTAACGTGACTTCTTGCCAAACTTGTGTCTTCCTCGAAAACAAAATCGATGGGAGTTTTCAAAAAAAACTGAGCTGCTAGTAAATGCGTCTGTTTCGTTTTCGATGCGCCACCCTGTATATAAACGATGACCTATCGAAAATAGAAAAGCAAATACAGAGCAAGATTAGAATTATTACCAGACATGAAAGAGCTAGAGGAAAGCAAATCAAAAACACGTATCAGAAATTGATTATAGACGGGGAGGTTTGGAAACGGAACATCGAAACACATCAGAGATGTTAGGCAAAAAAACTAACGGAAGCTTCTAAGGAAGATCTTGGTGGCAAAATGTTGGATGATGGTACGTAGATACGAAAAACAAATGAGTTGAAAGAACTGTTTAAGGAGCCCAACATAACGGCGTTCATAAATGCTCAGAGTTTGAGATGGTTGGAACAAGTCCGAAGAATGGCAGAGCATAGAGTACCAAAGGCACTGCCTGCCCATTCAACAGGAGGGAAGAAAGGGAGAGGCAGACCCAGGACGAGGTGGAAAACTGAGGTGAAAGAGGACGTGAGGAAATTAAATATAAACGATTTGGAAAGAAGAGCAATGAATACAGCAGAATCGCGAAGGATCACCTATCAAGCCATGGGACTACTAGGCCGTAGCGTTAGTTTTTATATATATAGAAATACAATTGATTTTTAATTGGGAATTGGCAAACTTTAAGCTTAGCAAATTCTTTTGACGGTAATCTCGAGCTTTCGACAAACTATGTTGTCATCTTCAGGAGCTAAAACACAAATATGAAGCTAGCTACTAATTTAGAAAGGATTTAAATTTTCAAATTACTTACTCGTCGGTGAGGTTGCAGCCAAATGGTGTTTTAAAACGAAAGCGTGGACGAGTACACTTGTCGCAATTGTAAAACCAAAAGGACGGACACATTGAGTTTGCTGGTAACGATGGAAACCATAGCTAGGTGTTACCACTATACAGGGTGACTTCGAAGTTGAGTCATTTATTTTAACAGTGAGTAGATCTGATCAAAAGAAATGTTTTTTTCCTTTACCATTTTTCTGGTAAAATTAAAGTAACAAAGTTATAGTCCTTTGGAAGTTTGAGTACCGCCCTGTCTCAATAATAATATTATGTGCTCGTGTTTGACAACAACGGATATAATCCGCCTTATCGATTCATCGCATCGGAAACATAAAAGCGAAAGAATTTGGAACGATGTTTTTACAATTATTTTATTCAGTTGTATACAGTCAGTGTCAGTCGGTAACGCATGAGTGAATAGTGGTGTCTGTTGCGTGGCTCAAACGAAATCAAAAATGGCACATGTTTACGAAAATGCTGAACTTGTGGACATGATTCTTATTTACGCGGCATCACGGATTTATGCGGATCGGTTTCCCAATAGAGTGCAACCAACCCCTCGTGCCTTTGTTAATGTAGTACAAAGGGATCGTGAATCTAATGATGCGCCACCCTGTATGTATCAGCACTCATTAAAACAAACATTAAAAATATACTTGAAATAACGTAAGTACTAAATTAAATATCTCGAATAAATATGTTTATCTAAAAGAAATTAAAAAATTCCACTTAAACGTACACTCGGTGCCTACAAAAACCCTACACCGCTCTCAAAACGTCCTTGCACACAGTAACAGTAGATCAACGATCCAACAAGTCAAAATGAAAGTCTTACTTAGTGTCTTTGCAGTGGTTGCCCTAATGGCCCTATTCGTCTTTGCTGAGGAGGAAGGTGAGTTTAGAGATATCTGTTCCTCCGCTTGTCGTGTAGTGCTAGGGGCTATGATTTTTAACGACTCTACTGGACGCAGGTGACAGTTAGGCTGGAATTCAAGGGAGTTAATGGGGAGTATGGCTAGTCGATTTGAACTTCTGACGATCTTAACGTCTATAGAATAGAAAATTATCCTTCTAATGACTCTTATGTATTTATGAATTTCTTGTAATTAACTGGATTTGGACAATAACGCGGAAGCCAGAATTTGTCGGAGATATCGGCGAGTGTTTTAAGTTCAGATACAGTTAGGATTGTGTATAAAAGTGAAACTACAATCAGCAATAATTTCTTAGTAAACTTGACGACACAATTCCAACAGAACGACAAGCTAGTGTTGCGATTCTAATAAAATATTTATAGGACAACAAGAAGGTACTTAAAAATCCGAATATCAGAATACAAAAGAGACTGTTATTTCCTCCTAGTTCAACACAAGTTTTAAGAATGTCATGTGTTGAGTTTAGATACTTACGAGTTTCTTTGCAGAAATGTTATTTAGGAAATGTTGAAAATCAAAAGACACAATAATGGAGTTAATAGGATAACCAACCTAGCATATTTAACTGGTATTCATAATAATACATCATTAATTTCATAAAAATACAGTAAAGACCACCACATGATATTCATCAGCCCCAAAAAGGCAAAGCATGAAATATCCCGAAAAATTGATCATATTTTCACCATTTCTTGATGCAGTCTAAATGATAATATCTAGGATGGGCATAACGTTGGATTGTTGTTTGACCACCACAGCTTCTAACTTAAATGATGAGTTAGCTATAATTTTCTTTATTCTGATAAAAACTAAAGACAAGTATTCATACGTTTTGAATATCTAACTAAAATGCGAATCATTTTCTCTTTGTTTTATTTCTATGTGTCTATGTCGAGCATTGCTATATTGATAATAAAATTTAGGGATGTGTTTTAATAGTTTATTTTGCATGATATCTCAACTACAATAAGTATTTTTACATCGCTTCCATTCTTTAAATTATTCGTTAATATACATGTAAAGTGTTTTATTTTTGTTTTGTAGAGCCCTGAAGAGGCAAATAAGTTATTCCGAAACGTCGCCATCCTCGTAATAGGAAACTGTGTTTCCTTGAATCCCAAATTAAAAATTTGTACTGGTGGACCACAGGGATCAGTCCTAGGACCGCTATTATTTTCATTAAATATCTCAGATTTAGAAACAGAGGTAAAATCATGGAGCATACATTTTTTTGCAGATGATACTCAAATTTTCTATTCATTTAGGAGTAATGACTTGGAAACGGCAAATAATAAAATTGATCAAGATCTTGCCCAAATTGAAAAGTTCAGTAGTAGTCATAATATTCGTTTGAACCCTTTGAAGACAAATATGTTGATATACGCAAATAGTACCTTAAAAAAGGACATAGACATACATTAAAAAGGTAATAAATTAATTCCTGTGGATCATTCGAAAAACCTAGGTTATAATGGATGATGACTTAAAATTTGTTGCACACGTGAACTATCTAATTACTCAGTGCTACGCTATTCTCAGAGTTTCATTTGCAAATAAGGCCATATTACATAAATCTGCGAGAAAACAATGTGTGAATATTTCGTGTTTTCAAACATATCGTATTGCTTAGCGGTTTACTATCCCTATTTAGATATTATAACAAGAAATCATGTTCAAAGTATTATGAATACATGTTGCAGACTTGTAAATGATCTCAGAAAATATGATCATATATCGAATAAGTACCAGCTCCTAAATCTGACTCATAAGGTTCTTTATTCAAAAACACCGTCATATTTAGTAAACAAATTCATACGTAGAGGAAATATGCATCGTAATAATATTAGACATAGAGAGACTTTTTTAATTCCACGCCACAGCACGTCTCTATTTCAGAATACATACATTTACAATGCGATCAAATCATATAATTCTTTAGACCGCAGTTTAAAAGAAACCAATCCATTATCCAAATTCAAGAAAAAAGTGAAAGAAGTTCTTCTTGAACAGCAGCGAAATCGGTTGTAACCCATAAGTGTCCTCATATTTTCCTTATGTATTTACTTGGATTATACTTTTTTTTTACATCTCATATTGTTAAGGGGGTTAGATGGTAGAATAGATATATAATCTAAATCTCGCCTCCTGTAAGAGTATTACAAATAAAAGACAATTATTATTATTATCATTATTAAATCCAATTAATTACAAGAAACGTCTATTAGATCCCCTATACAATTTTTAGTTCCACTGTAGTTTAGGTTTTGGCTCGACATACAAACCTTCGAATATTCAACATGTCCATAAATTCGTCTTATTATTATACAATTGTGTTTTCTTAGCTTGAGAGCTGCTTTAATATCAAAATCCCTTTAATACAAATACTGACTTAGCTTCCTTGCAATCCTTTATCACCATCATCGTCGTACTGTCCTTCTTATTTTTCTTTTTCTCCGTAAGAGACTATAGAAATGTCACGTGGGTAAGGTGAATATCGTATTTTTCCCACGTTTAAGAGTGAAGTCCTTTCAGTAAATTGCTTTCTACAAAATTATTAATTTACAGAGGTGAAGCCAAGGATATTCCAAGGATTTGACAGTGATACTAAAACACCATGCAACGTTACAGAGTGCTTTGAAACCTGCAGAAAACAGTCTGCTATAATTGGTGTTTGCATCGAAGGAGTATGTCGTTGCTTGCGTTGGTAGAGCATTGGATAATTCATCACCTCTCATTATACAGGAATCTAAAATAAATTAATTTATTGAAAATACGCTGTTATATGTCTTTTCTACTCCACCAACACCTTTTCAACTATATAGCGCAGAGATATGAGGCTAAAACGGTTGCAATATTGTTAATGACATTTAGAAATTCAAGTTTCTTCCAAAGTGCTCAGGTACCCGCCGGGAGGTGATGTGGATAATTTTTTTATACCAATACAAGGGAAACATACAGAATATAAGGAAGAAAAAGTCTTAAAACTGTTTGCGGTTAAAATGGGCACGTTTAGGGAACGACAGTAATATATTTGTCATGCACAATGCTGTTGCAAAATGAGGAAAGTATGTCATCTGTGGTTTTTATAACCGCATCACCAATTTTGTTTATCCCTGGACATTATTTTTAAATCCTCTGAAATAAAAAAACAATGTTTGTGGACATTTCCTTCGTCACCACTGAACACACACATCTTGTGTAAGAGTTCCATCCAAATCCCAAGCCCGACTTTCCAAATTAACCAAAAGGCCAATGATTAGCGGACAGACAGACGGAAATGGGTTTGTTAGTTAACAAATGAAATGCAGCATTGTTTTATCTTTTAGTGGAAAAGTATCAACTATCATTAAGCCCGAGAACCGTACATAACATAATATACAGGGTGTCCCAGAAGTCGACGTCAAGCCGAAACCTGGTAATAGTCAAAGTCATAACAGCTATCAGAAAAATATTTAAAAAAATTCCATGTATGTGTTTTGAAAATTATAGGTCTTTGAAAAAAATATAGAAATTTCACACCCTACGGCAGTCTGTCACCTCCTGTTACTACAAATATTAACCTTTTTTGGATTTTATTTTTACAATGTAATGATGAATAATGCATCTTCAAACTGGTGTCTCAACCTTACTGCCAACTTTTCTCGTTCAGGAAAAATTGCCACTTATTTCCCAACCAAGCATTTCAAAGTAAAACTTTGCTCAACTTTAACTGGCTGTACTGGAAAAAATGTACTACGAGAGTTTGGCAAGTAACGTTAAAAGTTGGCGCATTTAATAAGGATTACACTTAGAAGATTACTCGTTAACTTATGCACAATTTTTATTTGAAGAAAAACATGAAAATTTTTCAAAATTTCCTAATTAAACAGCGATTATGAAAACGCACAAGGACCCTTAAGGATAACTGTTTGCACAACAGTGGGCGTCAAAATGCTGCTGATGATGATTTACCTTTACAGCAAATGCTCAAACTGTTTTCCCTCAGCCGCAATACACGCCCGACATCTTCTTAAAAAAGATTGGGTTATTAAACGAGCGAATCCACGGTTATTTACAAACTCAGCTACTTCCAATAGTCTTTGCCGTAGCTCAGCTACGTTTCTTTTACAGCTCCCCAGTAAAAAAAATCTAAGGGATTCAAATCTGGTGACCGGGCTGGCCACGGTATTGTACCAGACCGCCCTATCCATCTGCCTGGAAAGTTTTGATCGAGATACTCTCTCACTGAGAGTGCATAGTGCGCTGGGCAGCCATCATGCTGAAACCACATGTCCCTGTTAATACTCAGTGGCACGTCTTCCAATAAATTTTCTAAATGATTTTGCAAAAAACCTAAACAAACCTCAGCAGTCAAAGTCTTTGGGAACTCAAACGGACCGATTATTTTACCATTTAAAATTCCTGTCCAATGGTTTATCCTGAAGCGGTATTGAGATTTATCTTCTCTCATCAAATGTGGGTTTGCTACGTGCCACTCGTGTAAGTTATGCAGGTTCATGTACCCATCTTTCTTAAATGTGGTCTCATCTGACCATACATTTTTTTCAAAGAACCGTGGATCTTCCCTGTGTCTTTCTAACATTGTGCGACCAAAAGCAACTGGGGGCTCATAATCCCGGCGCAGAAGAGCTTGAACACGCTGTACGTGGTATGGATGGAGCACGTTGTTTTGCAAGATTCTATGGGCTGTACTTTTGGGCACACCTGTTTTTAGTTCTATTGCACCCACTGAAGTACTCGGGTCTTCTTCGACAGCTCCTAGCACTACGTCTTCGTAAGAAAGGAAAGATCTTCCCTCACCGTGTGATTGGTTTGGTAGTTGGCCCTCTTAGAACAGTAAGAGGTGCACATTTGTGAACACTCGATGATCTGGATGACGAGCTGCATTCGGGTACCTCTCACAGTAAAGTCTCGCTGCAGCACTAGCGTTGCATCTGCATTCCCCATAAATAAGGTGTATGTTAGCATATTCTTGTACGGTGTACACGGACATAGCGGCACTGCACAATCACACTAACAAAGATAGTCTAAGGAAAGCAAATGTTGTTTTGAAGAGCAAATAAACAGTCCAAATCCAAATCACAAGCGATCAACAGTCCAGTTCACGAATCCAAAATTAGTAACAGTACGAAATCAACAAGCACGAACATGTAAAGATGCGCAGTAAACGAAGGAGTACTGATCGGTATCAAAGTGTGCAATAGCAAGTAAGTGATGTGCTTCATCCATACCACATACAGCGTGTTCAACCTCCCCTGCCCCGGGATTATGAGCCCCGAGTTGCTTTCTGTCGCACAATGTTAGAAAGACACAGGAAAGATCCACAGTTCTTTGAAAAAATTTTATGGTCGGATGAGACCACATTTAAGAAAGACGGGTACATGAACCTGCATAACTTACACGAGTGGCACGTAGCAAACCCACATTTGATGAGAGAAGATAAATCTCAATATCGTTTCAAGATAAACCATTGGACAGGAATTTTAAATGGTGAAATAATCGGTCCGTTTGAGTTCCCAGAGACTTTGACTACTGAAGTATATTTGGATTTTTTGAAAAGTCATGTACAAAATTTATTGGTGGACGTGCCACTGAGTATTTACAGGGACATGTGGTTTCAGCATGATGGCTGCCCAGCGCACTATGCACTCTCAGTGAGAGAGTATCTCGATCAAAACTTTCCAGGCAGATGGATGGGGCGGTCTGGTACAATACCGTGGCCAGCCCGATCACCTGATTTGAATCCTTTAGATTTTTTTACTGGGGAACTGTAAAAGAAAAAGTGTATTTCAAGCCGATTCAAAACGTAGCTGAGCTACGGCAAAGACTATTGGAAGCAGCTGAGTTTGTTAATAACCGTGGATTCGCTCGTTTAATAACCCGATCTTTTTTAAGAAGATGTCGAGCGTGTATTGCGGCTGAAGTTAAACAGTTTGAGCATTTGCTGTAAAGGTAAATCATCATCAGCAGCATTTTGACGCCCACTGTTGTGCAGACAGTTATCCTTAAGGGTCCTTGTGCGTTTTCATAATCGCTGTTTAATTAGGAAATTTTGAAAAATTTTTATCAGTTTTTTTCAAATAAAAATTGTGCATAAGTTAACGAGTAATCTTCTAAGTGTTATACCATTTTTAATTCCTTATTAAATGCGCCAACTTTTAAGGTTACTTGCCAAACTCTCGTAGTACATTTTTTTCCAGTACAGCCAGTTAAAGTTGAGCAAAGTTTTACTTTGGAATACTTGGTTAGGAAATAAGTGGCAATTTTTCCTGAACGAGAAAAGTTGGCAGTAAGGTTGAGACACCAGTTTGAAGATGCATTATTCATCATTACATTGTAAAAATAGAATCCAAGAAAAGTTAATATTTGTAGTAAACAGGAGTTGACAGACAGGTGTGAAATTTCTATATCTTTTTCAAAGACCTGTAATTTTCAAAACAAATACATAAAATTTTTTTAAATATTTTTCTGATAGCTGTTATGACTTTGCGTATCACCCGGTTTCGGCTTGACGTCGACTTCTGGGACACCCTGTATACGAGTAAAAACATCCCTAAAGGGAAAAGGATTGGCCCAGCTATTTTTCACCTCCACCAAAAAAGTTAGTTTGATGATCATTTATTTAACATCATCTGAATAGGGTGAATAACATTTACAAAAAATATTATGCACAACAGTATACAGGGTGGCCTTATTTGTGACTCTCCTGGTTTATTTTGGGGAAAACGCTCGGACACGTCAATCTTGGTTTCTACGGAGACTTCTTTTTATTTATAGCCGTACAATACAGGGTGATCCAAAAATAAGATATTGCGTTACATTAGATTTTTAAGTGGAAACCCACATTTTTTTTTTAAATTTTAGACTGTCCATAGAGTTTTTAGTAACTTTTGTATAATAAAGTTTATACCTGTCTTCTATCGTTGTGAAGCTATGTAAGTTTATAATATTTTTTTTTATTTTAAAAATAATCATCAATATATTTCCCATAGTACCAAGACTGTAAAATTAAAAACAAGTCTCTGAGTAGCTCGAAATTTTGTTGGTTACAACTCAAAATATCGAATTTTTAACTTCCCGCAATAAATGTCCATCGTTTTGACCTATGGATGAAAGGTGAAAGTTAAAAATACGATAATTTGAGTTATAGCCAACCTTTGAAATTCCTTTTTTTAAGATGAAAAAGATGCATAGAAAAATTTACAAGATCATTATTTGAGAATCCGACATAGCCCCAAACTCTGTTAAAGAAACCTGACTTCCTTTGCTCGTCATTATCGACCTGTAATAGCTTCGAGACAAGGTGAGGGGTTGTGAATTGAAAGACGTAGCGTACACACAAAGACGTTTAATCACAGCAATATTTGGCAAAGATACAGAGCGTTTACCATCAGAGCCGCCTCCTATCAAATTGAAAAGCCGGTAACTATTCATTTCCTCTCATCGTCCAAAGCCTCCCGCTCCCCCGACGACTCCTCCAACAGCAAACCCAGCAACCCCACCTCCTATGACCTTCGGTCTCCCGTACCCCCCATAATACGGCGGCGGTGGTGGAGGGGGTGGGTAGTACGGCCTTGGGTAGTACGGTCTGGGGTAGTAAGAATGATGGTAATGAGCTACCGGGATACCGATGCCCCCGAACCCTCCTCCGAAGCCCCCTCCTCCGATAAAGCGTTTGGATTTTTGTTCGGCTGGAGACAGTAGAACACTGAGAAGGACGACTGTCAGTGTGGAGGCGAATATCGGCTGGAAGAAAAAAAAAAATGTTGAAAAAAAGATGGCGTCAAATAGGTTGATCCTATACTTGCTACGCCTTCATTGGAGGTTTCAATGGAAAGGGATGAGTCATCACCATATCAAACTATATCCAGGGTGTTTCAGTTTATTGTTGCATAATTTTAAGATTCGATAGAACTTTTGAAATTGATGCATAAAGTCTATATAAACATGGGTCGAAAAATGCGTGGCTTCCGAAATACAGGGTGTTTAAACTTATTTTCTAAAATAGTTTTTTTAAAATATTTCGAACAATATTTGTTGTATAACAGTGAAAATTGGTATACAAGGGTCTTTTGGTACGAAAAAACGAACCATGGGCATAGTTTTACTGTAGCCACTTAAGGGCGCTCTCCACTGTACCTGTAGTGTATTAAAATGAGCGAACAAATTTTCTTAGTGCTATTTTTTGCTTTTTGAATAAAAAACTGATTCTTCGCACTTTTCAACATAAAAAAGCTCTCCTGTGAGTTTTCGTTATAGTTAGCCGTTTTTGAGATATTTCGTTTTTTAAGGTTCGATGCATTTTTAATTATTTATGGGAAAATAATATTTCTTTATAAATGTTCGATTTGGGCATTACAAGTCATTAAGATGATCGTTTAGATTGTGTTTTTAAACACAGCAATAATTCCTAACTCCAAATAAACACAAAAAAACAGAATATTAATTTGTTTAATTTTCCAATATTATTTTTAACAAATTAAATTAATTATTTACAACTAAAATGCTATTGGATAGTTAGGACAAACATACAAAATCTAAAGTAGTTGCTCGAAATGTAAACCCAATTGTTCAATACACAATTCACATCTACGAATGATCGAACGTGGTATAGCATTATTCAAATAAGGCCCTGATGAAATAGGGAATATTTCGTCAGATGCATTCCTGAATCTGTCTATTAGCATATCTCTTGTGGTTACGGGAGTCTGGTACACTTTTTGTTTTAGAAATCCCCACACAAAGAAATCTAATGGATTTAGGTCAGGGGATCGTGGAGGCCAGACGACTGGTCCTCCACGGCCGATCCATCTTTCTGGATAATTTTCGTCCAGCCAGTTTCTAACTATTCTCGAATAATGAGCTGGACAACCATCAAGCTGGAACCAGGCCAATCTTCTTAAATCCAACGTAACATCATCTCACATATTTGCATGTTCAGCCTTTAAAAATTCCAAGAAGGCAGCATTTAACCTTGCAGGCAAAAAGTAGGGTCCAAATAGTCGATTACGGTAGATACCAATCCACACGTTCACACTAAATTCATGCTGAAAATTTCTTTCCGGAACTGCATGCGGATTTTCATGCGACCAAATATGTTGATTATGAAAATTTACCACTCCACGTCTAGTGAAACATGACTCATCGGTCCATAAAACGTTACTTAAAAACTCCCTATTATTATCAGTTCTATCAAGAATCCACTGACAAAATGTGATTCTTCGTTCTCCGTCCCCTGGCTGTAGTCATTGCACTGGTTGCAAATGGTAAGGACGTCTATGGTCATTTCTAAGAACACGGTGAACATGGCCTACTGAAATTCCCAAGGCACCAGAAACTCTCCTAACACTTGTGGTCGGATCTCTATCAAACTCACGCAGAATCATACGGGTAAATCTGCGCTGACGAACATTTATGTTTTGATCCCTTTGGAGATTTCCAAAACCATTTTCAATTATTTGGCGATGCATTCTTACAAATACTGAGCGAGTTGGATGTCGTCTGTTTGGATATCTTCGTGCGTATTCTCTGGCTGGTTCTGCTGCGTTTACATTTACAAAGCCATACACAAAATGAATATCCGCTAACTCTTGATTGGAGAATAATAATGGCATTTTTATAAAACTTACAAAAAAACAGGTAAAATAAACTAAATTTCGTGCATTCACAATTGCAAAAAAACGTTTCAGGTTTCAACACACAGCAAAACTAACTGTCAACTAATTGACGTTTCCTTCATCTGCTTTCAATTTCAAAAATATTTGCAGGCACAGCCTACTTCTAAAAATTATCGAGATACTGACTTTTTAACGTTATTTTATCATGAATAATTAAAAATGCATCGAACCTTAAAAATCGAAATATCTCAAAAACGGCTAACTATAACGAAAATTCATAAGAGAGCTTTTTTATGTTGAAAAGTGCGAAGAATCAGTTTTTTTTATTCAAAAGGAAAAAATTCCGCTATGAAAAAATTTTCGGTCATTTTAATACACTACAGGTACAGTAGAGAGCGCCCTCTAGCGGCTACAGTAAAACTATGGCTCGTTTTGTCGTACCAAAAAACCCTTGTATACGAATTTTCACTGTTATACATCAAATATTGTTCGAAATATTAAAAAAAAAGCTATTTTAAAAAGTAAATTTAAACACCCTATATTTCGGAAACCACGCATTTTTCGACCCATGTTTATATAGACTTTATGCATTAATTTTGAAAGTTCTATCGAATCTTAAAGTTATGCAACACTAAACTGAAACACCCTGTATATTTTATTTTTTCTACTATAAAAATATGCTGGCTTCAGTGAAGTTTGACAGCAAAGATCACATGTAGTGTATAAGAAGAGCTATCTAATCTTAATATCGCCTTATTCATGTTCTGTCTTTATTTAGTCTCATCAGTGGAGTAAAAATCTACACCACCCCCTATCCTGACGATGGGATATTCTAAGAATGTGTGAATGTGGGAATGTCTCTAAAAGCCTTTTTGGTTATTTTTCAATCAATTATTGCTACATTTACCTGAATCACACAATATACTGACTTTGAAGTTGAGTCATTAATTTTCAGATAGTGATTGTAGAAGGAAGATAAACCAAAATAGTGTGTAAAAATGAAAAAAATTAAAAAAAAAATGTTACCTTGTTTTATAAAGTATCCTCCCGACAAGTATTTCAGTGCGGACCTGTATTTGATCATGCGGTCTTGGAGCACCGGCATCCCCTGTGAGGTCTTAAGTCACCTGATTCATGAGCCCTTTGTACTACATTAACAAAGGCACGAGGGGTTGGTTGCACTCGATTGGGAAACCGATTCGCACAAATCCGTGATGCCCCGGCAGCATTTTGTAAATAAGAATCATGTTCACAAGTTCAGCATTTTCGTGAACATGTGCCATTTTTTATTTCGCAACAAACACCACTATTCACTCACGCGTTACCGACTGAATCCAACTAAAAACATCGTGATAAGCGTTTCAAATTCTTTCGCTTTTTTGTTACCGATGCGATGAACCGATGCGGATTATATCCGTTGTCGCCAAACACGAGCACATAATATTATTATTGAGACAGAGCGGTACTCAAACTTCCAAAGGGCTATAACTTTGTTACTTTAATTTTACCAGAAAAATGGTAAAGGAAAAAACATTTCTTTTGATCAGATCTACTCACTGTTAAAATAAATGACTCAACTTCGAAGTCACCCTGTATATCACACTTCCTAACTATTATACAGATTTTCAACCTCACAGGGTGAGAAAAACGGATACCAAAAGACCCACGGCAAAGTTCATGTAATCACTGCACTATCATCGTTGTTTCTAAATTATAAATAAAGCTTGCAAATCAACAAAATATTGTATACTCACCCTCATTTTAACTGATCGACTACGAATACCAAACGCGATTGATTTTGCTTCAGAAATGATTTCTGGTAGATCGGACTTCCAATATTATATGTGTACGGCTAGTTTAAATAATTTACAGTTTAATTAGCATGTTTGTCCAAATTTGCTTAACGCTGTCGTACACGAATGTCCAACGCAGAGAACCTTGGGCTTGGAAATTTCATGTGGTTCACTGGGATCCCCCATTCCTGCAATACGTATGTATATGTAAATAAATTGCCAAAGGCCTTGTTATTCGTATTAGAAATACTGGTTAGTTAGATTTACTTATCAAACTATTTACTAATATACTAAGTGACATATAAATCCGAACACCCAGTTTAAATGGTTTTATCTTAATAAAAGCTGGTGAATGTATTTATCTTACTGTAAATAACAAGTGAAAAATTTTTCAGCCTTATCAGTTGGACATTCCCGTTTTTATACTGCTTTTTTTTAATTCACTAACGCTCTAAAAATGAATATTTCAGCCGCGGTAAAGAATCAGCGTTGGCGGATTTTGGTTCTTGACATCCTTTACGATCGGTTACGATACCTAGAGTACGGAGACCTGTACGATTTCGTCAACTTAGTGAGTTTGATAGGGGCCGTATAGTGGGACTTCGGGAAGCTGGACTTTCTTTTCGGGCAATTGCAGTTAGAGTGCAAAGAAGTGTAGACACTGTGGTCAGGTGTTGCCAGGCATGGCTTCGAGAAGGCCGTACGCAAAGAGTAAGGGGCACTGGACGCCGCCGTAGAACAACAGACCGTGAAGATCGCCGCCTAAGATTATTGGCCTTAAGGGACCGTTTGTCCACTACCAGGTGCATTGCAAATGAATGGTTTGCAGAACACGGAAGACCTATTGGCATGCGAAGTGTTTACCGACGAATGAGAAGTTTTGGCTTGTTTTCATACCGGCCACACTGGGTCCTCCCTTTAACTCGAGAACACCGACGTAATCGCCTTGAGTGGTGCAGACACCGGTCACTCTGAGATCAGGAATGGAACAGTATTGTATTTAGTGACGAGTCTCGATTTTGTTTAGGCATGCACGATGGTCGTGCCAGGGTTAGAAGGCGACGTGGTGAAAGGAGGAATCCACAGTTTTTTGTTGAAAGACATGTTCATCACACTGTTGGAGTTATGGTTTGGGGTGCTATAGCTTATGGTTTCAGGTCACCTTTAATCTTCATCAGAGGTAACATGAACGCGCAGCGTTATATCCACGAAGTTCTAGCACCCCATCTTTTACCCTATCTTGACGCCCTGGCAGATCCAACTCTCCAACAAGATAATGCCCGACCACATGTTGCAAGAGTCACAATAGACTTCTTTCAACATAATGATGTCACATTGTTACCATGGCCACCAAGATCTCCCGACTTATCCCCAATTGAGCACGTGTGGGATATGATGGGTAGGAGATTGCTCAATTTGCAACGTCGTCCTCAGACTCTAGAAGCACTTCGAGAGGAGTTGGTGGTTGCCTGAAATGAGATACCACAGGAGGACATTGACCACCTGATCAGAAGCATGCCTAGGCGCGTTGGAGAATGCGTAGCACATACGGGTGCATCCACACATTATTCAAGGTCAAAGAGCTTTAAAGCAGTGCAATCATTTTGAAATTTTTATCATTTACTTATTATGCTTCACTAAGTACTTATACAAAATTTTATTAAAATAAAACCATTTAAACTGGGTGTTCGGATTTATATGTCACTTAGTATATCTAGTAAGCCGAATAAATAAATCTGAAACATGACACTTGGGTTATTCCTAGAATAGAAGGTTGGAGGACATCCTTAAAAACCGCGACCTAAGTTTGTTAAAAATCCAATGAATGTTATTTCCATCGATATCCGTTTATTCCTAGGCTGCATGTGCTAGGCACAAATATTTAATAATAATAATAAATGGGCTTTATTTCGTACCTAAGCAAAAGTACAAAAAAGGCGAAGTGTCGCTAAGATTAGCGTTTTTTAACTTAACCTTTGAAAGAACAAATATATATATATACTTCGACGTTGAGTCATTTATTTTAACAGTGAGTAGATCTGATCATTAAATGTTTTTTTCCTTTAACATTTTTATGGTAAAATTAAAGTAACAAAGTTATAGGCCTTTAGAAGTTTGAGTACCGCCCTGTCTCAATAATAATATTATGTGCTCGTGTTTGGCAACAACGGATATAATCCGCCTTATCCGTTCATCGCATCGGAAACAAAAAAGCGAAAGAATTTGAAACGATATTTTTACTACAATGTACAATCTTATTCAGTTGTATTCAGTCGATGTATCAGTCGGTAACGCGTGAGTGAATAGTGAATGAAAAATGGCACATGTTTACGAAAATGCTGAATGTAGTACAAAGGGCTCGTGAATCAGGTGACTTAAGACCTCACAGGGGAAGGCATGCCGGTGCTCCAAGACCGCACGATCAAATACAGGTCCGCACTGAAATACTTGTCGGGAGGATACTTTATAAAACAAGGTAACTTTTTTTTATTTTTTTTTTATTTTTACACACATATTTTGGTTTATCTTTCTTATACAATCATTATCTGAAAATTAATGACTCAACTTCAAAGTCACCCTGTATATATATATATATATATATATATATAATAAAACATTCCACCAACATAATTCTCAATAATTACTAAATAATTAACAACACAAAAAAACAGAACAATTACAAGAATAGTCCATATTCCTAGCATTTTGTATTCATCATCAACCTCGACTTGTAGCTTTAGTGCCTCTTTTTAAAATTAAATAATGTATAGTTTTGGAATGTAACAGGCAGATCATTATATAATTTAATAGCGTTGTAGTTGAATGATTTTTTGTAGACTGCCTTAGAATGTAAGGGTATAACTAACATATTTCTATTCCTTGTATTCAGTTGATTTATGTCACTACATCGTGTTAACTTATTATGCAAATATTATGGTTGTTTGGTAGCTAAGACCTTATGTGTGAGTGTCAATAAGTGAAGTTTTTGCATGCCTTTAATCTGCAGAATACAAGTTCCTTCAGTTTATAAGAAATATGATCAAACTTTCGTATTCCGCAAGAAAATCTGACGCACGAATTCTGAATACGCTGTAATTTGCTTTGTTCACTATATGATAGAAAGAGATGGAAACTGTCACAATAACTGATATTTGAGATAATTAATGTTTCACACAGTTTCAGCTTTACAGAAGTACGAGTAGATATTATTTGCCTATGTGGATTCAAAATGCAGTACATAATAAATTTACGTGTTATGGACATATTGATGAAAACCCGATGTATATAGAGAAAAAAGTAAAGGTCCCAATATGGAACCTTGAGAAACACCAAACCTTAAAGCAGTTCTCTGTGACATGTTGGAAGCTGTTAGGACCTTTTGATTTCTATTTGACAAATAGCAGCTTATCAAATTGAGTGCAGCGTCAGTAAAACCGTAGTAAGACAACTTAAGTAGCAGAATTTCAGGGTCTATCATATCGAAAGCTTTTGTGTAATCCAGCCGACATCCGTAAGATGGCGCTGTGATAACGCACTCAGCGAAGCGGAAGTTTTTGTTGTACTTATATAGGCTGCTTCAGATCAGATCCTTACCATTGGGACCTCGAAAACGGTAGGAGATGGAGGCAAAGCTGCGCATTTAGATAACTATCAAAATTCCACTTAGAAAGTTTAAAAATTATTTTAAAAGTTTTTCCGGAGAGAAAAAAATGAACTTTCAAAGAACCGTTTGAATTTTTTCCTGACTTTATTTGTAATGACGAATATGACGTTTCGTCTCTGGTCCTCCAGCATCAACTTTATTTTTTCTTATGGACGCCATATTCGATTTTTGGCAGATAAATATGATTTATGATTGTTATGATCATACATTGCCAAACCTTGTTCATTCTAGAAAAACAGAAGCTCCTAGATAGGTTTTGAAATTATCACATAGCCATTTATTTCATATACTAGGCCAGACTTCAAATTGAACGTAGTAACAGAGCTTGGAAGACTGAGAAGAGAAGTAAATCGAGCAGTGAGCAATGTACAGAGAAGAATCAGGCTTTGCCTAGAAAATGACAACATCTAAAACATCTGTTATTCTTACCTCTGCTTATTTATGATTATTATTGTCATACCACCAAGAACATGTTCAGGTTTTCCTTGGTCGGCGATGGCAGACGAAAGAAGAAATGAACAAAACCAACGAAATGATTACAAAAAATGTTGAAAATGGCCCCGTTCACTTAGTATGCATGCTTCCGCCCTCCTTCTCATGGTATTGAGCACTCGTTGAAATATCCCTGGAGTGTTTTTTATTCTACCACAAGCTGCACAAAAAGAAATCTAAGCCGTTGAGGTCTGGGGAGCTTGGTAGCCATTCTTGGGGCCCACCGCGGCCAATGCAACGATTTGGATAAACAGTTTGTAAATAATAATATGATTTATGATTGTTGTGGTCATACATTGCCAAACCTTGGTTATTCAAGAAAAACAGAAGCTCATAGATAGGTTTTGAAATTATCACATAGTCATTTATTTCATATACTAGACCAGACTTCAGTAACGTAGTAACAGAGCTTGGAAGACTGAGAAGAGAAGTAAATCGAGCAGTGAGAAATGTACAGAGATGAATCAGGCTTTGCCTAGAAAATGACAACATCTTAAACATCTGTTATGTTTACCTCTGCTTATTTATGATTATTATTGTCATAGCACCAAGAACATGTTCAGGTTTTCCTTGGTCGGCGATGGCAGACGAAAGAAGGAATGAACGAAACCAACGAAATGATTACAAAAATTGTTGAAAATGGACTCCTTCACTTAGTATGCATGCTTCCGCCCTCCTTCTCATGGAATTGCGCACTCGTTGAAATATCCCTGGAGTGTTTTTTATTCTATCACAAGCTGCACAAAAAGAAATCTAAACCGTTGAGGTCTGGGGATCTTGGTGGCCATTCTTGGGGCCCACCGCGGCCAATGCAACGATTTGGATAAACAGTTTGTAAATAGTAATATGACTTATGATTGTTATGATCACACATTGCCAAACCTTGATTATTATAGAAAAACAGAAGCTCCTAGATAGGTTTTAAAATTATCACATAGTCATTTATTTCATATACTAGACTGAGAAGAGAAGTAAATCGAGCAGTGAGCAATGTACAGAGAAGAGTCAGGCCTTGCCTAGAAAATGACAACATCTTAAACATCTGTTATGTTTACCTCTGCTTATTTATGATTATTGTTATACCACCAGGAACATTTTCAGGTTTTACAATACCTTTCTTTTCCTTGGTCGGTGATGGAAGGCGAAAGAAGAAACTGTTCTTTGACTACGCCATCTTGTAGAGGAGAATAAGAAACAATGCAATTTATTTTGAAATCTCATATCAAATAAGGCAAGGAGAAAACAAAAGTGACCTTGGGATAAGCCTAGTATGCGAAACAAATGACTATCTGGCAATTTCAAGGCCTACCTAGGAAATTCTGCTTTTTTCAAATAACTAAGGTTTGGTAATGTGAACGCATCATGTAGTCAGAATGAAAATCTCTTCTGATCTGTGCAAAAACACAATATGGCATCCGTGATAAAAAATAAAGTTGATGCTTGAGAACAATAGGCGGAACGTCATATTGAAATTCTAATTATGCCATTTTGTAGAGCACAAAAAGTGGCTGAGATAAGGTGCAGTTTATTTCGAGATCTCTCTGCAAATATAGTCAGGGAAAACTTAAAACGGTTATGGTAAAATTCGGATTGTACTTTGCATTTCGAAACTTTCTATGAAGCATTTTTTTAATTACTTAAATACGAAACCTCTCCCCAATGGTGAGGGTCGAATTTAAAACACCACGTAACCACTCTGTAACCTGGATGCTTCCAGTATCCTAACGCCTTAGGTTAGAAACATGCATGCATTCAATGAGGCACCTCAGGAGTTCTCGGTAAACGGCTTTGTTCTCCTTTGCGTGATATAGTTCTACGTATCTCGTCGGCTGCTGTATTGACCCAGGCGCAGAGCAATCTGCTTCGAAATTATATCCGGAAGCAGTGATTAGTGTTTACTCGTGAATTCAACGGATCACATTCCTAATATTACCGACCGTAAAGTGAATGGCTAATATTTGATAAAGTACTCGGAAACTATGCTCTTCCACGGAAATGTGTCTATACAGGGTGTGCCTTAATGATATGCGAATATTCAGAGGGTGAATCTATATGAGAAATTAATGTTAGTTTGCTTTATAAACTATGGTCCAAAAATGTTTCCTTACAAAAACTCGAGGTGTTGGAGTTTTAGAAAAAAAATTAAAATAAACTAATATCTTCAGTACCCCTTCAGATATTTCACTGATATTCAGTACGTAGTGGAAGTTGATAGAGTTGCATGTTTTGCAATGCAAAAATAATGTTTAGCTTCAACAGTGGCGTGCGTACGTGCGTACGGGTATTGGCTTCGATATTTTTTAAGAAAAAAATGGTACACCAATGGAATTATGCCAAATAAAAAATATGTTCGAATTCCACGTTCAATTTAAAACAAATGATCTTTCTTGAATTGTGTTCCGGTGATGCGCCATTTTAGAGTAAAAAAATAAAGACCGTTCTATTGTCTAACTTATCAACTAATCATTATTAATTTAATTGGAAAAAGCACTCGTTGAAATATACCTGGAGTGTTTTTTATTCTATCACAAGCTGCACAAAACGAAATCTAAAGCGTTGAGGTCTGGGGACCTTGGCGGCCATTCTTGGGGCCCACCGCGGCCAATCCAACGATTTGGATAAACAGTTTGTAAATAATTACGAACGGTTACACAGAAACGCGCTGGTGAACCATCATGCATGTATCACATATTATATTGCGCCTCGCCTTCATAAATAAGGATACGTGTAGTAGCTCTGCTTGCAGTCAAATCTCACACAGTTCAAAGCAAATTTTCTCACCCTGGATACAGTCCTGTCCCTTCGCCACTCCGTCGAACCCTCATACCTGTTCAAAGCATTGTTGCAACATATTGGGGAGGGTAGAGTAAAGGGCCGGAGCTTATTTATTCCGGCGAGGCTCATATAATTAGGATTAAACTTCACTTAGGTAAGTTCGTTTAATCTCCCAATTATATTGCGCCTCGCCTTCATAAATAAGGATACGTGTAGTAGTTCAAAGTAAGTTGCAACAATTTGTTTAGTATCATCAAGTTACATATGCGTAATTATATACATGTAAGAAACGGGGTAGATTTGATTTGGCTTTTACCCCAAAAAAATACACGTCTATCCCCAATCAATACTTTATTCCGAGTACCACCATTTACTTCGTATTTTGAATATTACACACTTCCATACCAGCTAATGTTTGGACGCGTTGGCCTGTTGCTAAGGCGAGGAGCATGGCCGTCTTGAGAGTTAACTGTATACGTTAACCAAAAATTAGTATTGGAAATGGGTTTCGGTTACGGCATACAATTTATTATTGTGGAAATTCTGAATGGCATTTCGAGAAAAATTAGCTTCGTCCGTGAACAGAATCCTTGATTCAAATTGCGGATTGAAGATATCACTGACAAAAGGTCACACGCCTTGGAAAATCAATGGGAAGTAATGCCTATTTTATTAAAATATGGTGAGGATATAACAAAAAATTCACTAAAATTCTCCAAACAATTTGATGGCCAATACTTAAGTGTCTTCCTCGTATTAGTTTCAGGATGACGTTCGTTTCAATTTTTTTTCCTCAAATTTCAACACCCCGAGTTTTTGTTAGGAAACATTTTTGAACCATATCATTAAGGAACACCCTATATCTTTTAGTTCTAACAAAATGGAGTCGAGCTAGTCGACTCTGTGCCTTCTCCGCAACGTCCTTATTAGTAAACAAAGGAATATGTTTAGCACAACTATGAAAATATCAAACAATTTGTCTGGATATGTCGCGCCTCTCCGGTACATAACTCGGGCCGACGTGGCACAGTGATCGCGCAGTCAGAGCATAGAAAACGCTATGCTGTGGCTGGGCAGAAATATGTGTGATTCCATACCATTACAGTCGTCGAGAATATTTTTCAGGGCTAATGTACAGAAAAATCTATGATGTGTGAAATATGTATACGAGGAATGTCTTTTAAGTTTTGCATATGGAAATAAAACAACACTGTAGGTAGTTTTAAATGACTTTATTGTTTTTCGAAGTATTCTCCATGAAGATTAATACACATCTCGAACCAATTTTCGAAGCACTTATTCCACTTGATTGCTGGCATTTTTGAATGCGTCAACTGCTTCTTCTGGTGACTGGGAACTTTGACCACGTAGTCTGTTTTTAACTTTCTGGAAAGTAAAGATATCGTTACGGCTTAGATCGGAACTATATGGAGGATGGTCCAATAATTCCACGTTTTCTTCCGTTAAATACTGCCTTTTTGGGATGTGTGCGAGCTTGCATTGTCTTGGTGGAGGATGATTCTTCTTTCGGGGTTGCTTTTTCGAAGCTCTGTGATGACTTTTGGCAAACAAATGGTGGTATACCAATCCGCAGTAACAGTTCTTTGCTCATTAAGAGGAATTATTGCAACGCGTGTGATAAAGTTTGTGAAACGTGAAATATCTTCCCCCTATCAGTCCTTATTAATAAATCAGTGAAGCAAAGTAAATTCCCGAAATGCTTGAAACTAGCTATTGTTGTTCCCGTATACAAAAAGGGTGACCGTACAGACCTTGAAAACTACAGACCAATATCACTTTTATCGATGATCTCTAAAGTCATTGAAAAATGTCTGTATAAACGTATATTATGTTTTCTCAATCGCTATAATGTCTTATCAGATACCCAGCATGGGTTTAGACCCTCACGATCTATAGAAACGGCGACCTTTGACTTTTTTCCCACATAAATAGAGAAGTAGATGGAAACAGATACGTTGCTGGACTATTTTTTGACCTTTCGAAAGCATTCGATATAATGGATATTTCGTTTATCGTGGAAAAATTGTACTGCTTAGGTATGAGGGATTTTATTCTCAGCTGGATCCAGTCTTTCCTGACAGATAGAAAATTGAAAACGAAGGTCAATGGTCATACGTCAACTCAATATTCCGTAAATATAGGTGCGGCACAAGGCTCAGCACCACTGCTCTTCATTGTATACATAAATGACTTGAAATTGTCTGGCTTCATGATTAATTATGCGGATGACACATCTATCGTCGTCAGTGCCACGACACCGCAGGATCTTCTCGAATCTATTGAGAAAGTCAAAAGTGAAATGAGCAAGTGGTGCCAGTCTAACCGCCTCATTTTGAATGAAGATAAGACTGTTGAAATACATTTCTTCAATAAGAAACCACGCATGGATATTGATAGCTTTTCAGATCAAACTGTCTTCTTAGGAACTCATGTTGATAGTAAGTTAAGCTGGCAACCACAAATAAATCACATTTGCAACAAAATTAACAGTGCTTATTTTGCAATATTGAAATTAAAGCCTAACATCCATCTAAACTCACTCTTAGATATGTATTACGCGCTAGTTTATTGTCACCTCACTAACAATATAATCATATGGGGACAGGCAACAATGATTAACAGATTATTCATCCTGCAGAAAAGAGTACTTCGATTAATCTTTGATATTAATAAGAGGGACTCTTGTAAAGAAATATATAGACGCTATAATCTGCTTACATTAACTTCCATCTATATCAACAAATGTGCCATCTTCGCATTTGAACATAGCAATAAATTTGTTCGTAACAACGCCATTAATAATCAATACAACACTAGAACAGGGCATGATCTGAGTATACCGACACATAACTCTGCCCTATTCCAAAAATCTCTCACTCTAGCGTGCACTAAGGTATACAATAATCTGCCGAGTGAGTTGCGGAGAAGCACTAATATCCTTCCGCTGAAAAAACATATCTGGTTGAAAAATGCTTTTACTCTCTACATGAGTTTTACTAACACATGAAAGTATCTGTTTTTAAATTCTTTTAAGCTGTTAATCATTTCGTTATCAGTGAATTGTCTATTATCGTGGAGTAAATGTATTTTAATTTCACTTTTTATTCAAGTTTTAACGAAAGTATGTATGTTTTCTTTTTAAGCTTTTAACCATTTGTCCTCACTGCTCGATGTTTATTTATTATGCATTTCTAACAGATTCTCCTACCGCTTTTCTTTGTATCAGCTTCAATGATTTTTACCGGCTGATGTCCGTGCCGTCAAATATTTAGTATGGCTTGTGCGTGTTTAGTGGAGATATCGCTGACCAAAGCTGAGTGGTTGACAAGTGTCCCCCGCGCGACCTTCTACGTTGTTAAATTATTATTAAGGTGTTGTTGTACTGTGGCAAAGGTAATTCAATTTTTAATATTTTTTCTCCCTATGCTAAGGTATTTTTGCTTTAGGTATTTGGAAGTAGTAGCAAGGCCATGTCTGAACAGAAAAAAAGAAAAGTAGAGACCAGTAATGATCCCAATGTATGGCTGAAGTGGTACCATGAACTAAGTGATGAAAGTGATCTGAGTGAAAGCTCTAAGGATGAAGATGAAAGTGACAAAGAGGAAGAAAATATACTGACAGAGAGTGAGCATAATACAGAATCGGAACAAGAGGTTGCGGAAAGTGAAGAAGTTTAAAGTGACGAAGACGTGCCTTTAGATTCTTCTAGTTTCTACATTGGGAAGGACAAAGTAACGAAATGGAGAAAAGCGATCCTCCAAGAAATGTGAAAACAAGGTCCCATAACATTATTATTCATTTACCAGGACCCAAAGGTAAAGCACGAGAAGTGAAACCAGAAGTAGCAGCTTTAGAACTCTTTTTAGACGACAATATTCTCAAAACAATTACAGCGTGCACTAATATTTATATAGAGAAAACACGTCAAGAATTTACAAGGGACAGAGATGCAAGGAGTACTGATGAAATAAGGACATTTATTGGATTGTTGTTCCTTATAGGCACCATGAGATGTTCTCGTAAAAATATTCATTTACTATGGGATAACTCCAAGGGAAATGGCATTGAATCTTGTTATCTTACTATGAGTGAACAAAGGTTCCGTCTCCTTTTGAGATGTTTGAGATTTGACAACATCAATGACCGTAACATGCGTAAAGAACTTGATAAAATGGCAGCAATTAGGGAAGTGTTTGAACTATTCACCAATAATTTTGAGAAATATTTCTCACCGAGTGAATATATAACTATAGACGAGCAATTGCTTGCGTTTAGAGGTCGTGCAGCTTTCCGCCAGTACATCCCCAATAAGCCAATATGGCATTAAAACATTTGCTTTGGTTGATGCTAAAACAGCTTATACTATGAAACTGGAAACGTATGTTGGATTGCAACCTCCAGGTCCATATCAGCAAAGTAACAATGCCAAAGATATTGTGATGAGGATGGTGGAACCAGTTCAGGGTACAAATAGAAACATCACAGGAGATAACTGGTTCACTAGTATTCCATTAGTCAATGAACTGCTGACTGAAAAGAAATTAACATACGTAGGTACTCCCAGAAAAAATAAAAGAGAAATTCCTAAGGAGTTTCTTCCCCAAAAAGACCGGGATAAATTTACTTCAATTTTTGGATTCCAGGAAAACTGTACAACTGTTTCTTACTGTCCACAAAAGAATAAAGCAGTTCTAGCAGTGACTGAAGTAGTAATTCACAGTTATCTTATGTTTTAAATATATTTTGTTGTTAAAATCAACCTACATTTTATGTCAAGGCTTATAGAGAATATCTTGTTTCTTATTTAATAAATATTTTTGGAAAAATCTTGTATAGGTTGTTTTTTAGGATGGTTGACACTTGTCACCCACGCGACTAATAATGTGCGGATAAGAGACGCGACTAACCTAGGGTTAAAATCGTCACCTCAAGTGTTTCTACCTCTGGGGTTTTTAAAAATGGAATTTTCAGCGATTTTTTTGGCTTGGGTCTCTTTTTCTGCCTCGACTGGACTGATTTTGCGTTATAATTATATCTGTTCTAATTTAAGAACGATTCTTTGAAAACCCGCACGTCTCGAATCAAATAAAGCAATTTCCTTTTTACATCTAATGTAGGATCTGAACAAAGCAGATGCGCGCTCTTGTTGGAGCTCTTTGTAGTTCAATTTGCCTCAGGTACGAACGCTGAAAGAAACTCCGCGAAATCTATGAAAATTGTCGGAAAATATGAGACCGGCGGAAATGTCACCCTATATTCCGTTCCGCGTTGGATTTTTCCGTATTCCGTCGTAGCGCGCCGCGCTAAACAATAAATTCCGGCGACATCGCGCCAAGCCGTGCTCCATAATAGACTTTGACGTCGAGACCGCGTGTACTATGTCGCCTTCTCGGCTTTCGGAATATGGCTAATCACGTCAGTCTCGGGAAGATTCAATTTTGAAAACTAGACTAACGTGTGTCTAAAAAGTGTTAATAGCGATTTGTGCAGAATTTTGTTTTTCCGTTTGATAGCGACGAATACCGAAAAGCCAACAAAAAAATACAATTTCCCGGCAGTTATATTTCCAGTACAACAGGGTTTTCTGGGTCGCTGATTTCAAAACTTGGGTGGTTTGTCCTGCAAGGGAATTTGAGGGTGACTTCAAGGTCATATCAAGGACGTTTTTACAGTATATTCAGATAAGAGATAGACCGGATTCGGGTGATTTTCACGCTAACGCCGCCGTCTCGACGTAAAACAGGAGCCCTCATTGGTCAATTCGCAATTAAATGCCTTTGCCGAGCGGCAGAGCAGTCGTATCAAGGCAGAGTCACATTCAGGTCCAGACGTGTTACGTATGTCGTGTGCATCATTGCAATTTGATATTTCTTTGGACGTTTTCGTTTGTTATCTTATTACGTTGTTGAGTTTGTCGTTGTTATTGTTATACCTTGTTATTGATTGTTATTGTTATCAACTGCTTGCGCAAAATGCCCAGTAGTACAGATACTGCCGATGAAGTTGTAAACTCCTGTAGTCCACCTAGAAAACGCTCTAAAAAAAGACACCTGAGTGCAGGAATGAAAGAGGTCATTTTGAATATATATAAGATCGAGCGCGAGGAGAACGAGGCATCAACCATCAAAGAAATTGTTATGAAGGTTTCTCACAAAGTTGGGGTGTGTCGCGCATCAGTGTTTAATGTGTTAAGACAATACAAAAAAAATCACACCTTTTCTGAGCCAATGACCAGTAAACATCGCAAAAGTATCGTTAAATCATTGGATGAAGCTGATAAGCATGCGATTAGGAGGAAAGTGCATGAATTCTTCTTTAGGAATGAAATACCTACTATAGATAAAGTACTGCAGGAGGTAAATGGAGATACAACGTTGCCAAATTTCAAACGATCAACTTTCCATGCGTTACTGAAGCATTTAAATTTCAAATGGAAAAAACGGGGTCGTAATAGTTTACTACTGGATAGAGAAGAAATTGTGCTATGGAGTAGCGATTATTTAACAAAAATTGGGAAATATAGAAATCAAAACAGGAAGATTTATTACCTTGATGAAACGTGGGTAAACGCAGGACACACTACAAGTAAAGTATGGGTTGATGATTCTGTAACTCCATCCAGGAGGGCCTTTCTAGATGGACTGTCCACCGGATTAAAAAATCCAGCAGGTAAATACGAGTAATAGACAACAATCGGATGTTTTTCAAACCTTGGGAACAAGGTTCTAAACATTAATTCCAGGGGGCAGATAAAACATATTACAAGTAACAAAACTTTTATAACTTTCGATAAAATGCGTGGATGTTTTATTGTCATTTTCATTTGTTAGAACTTTTTTAAGCCATGTTTTTATGTGTTTTCGATATTTCAATAATTTTTTATAAATTTTATAATTAATTATAAAGCTACTGTATTTTTTAATTAATTATTGACATTTTTGAACCCATTTTGGCAAAACCTATTCAAGAATCTAATTTCTGACAATGTTCAACCATGCACATTTTTTTACGTTTTGAACGTTTTAATTTGGTTACATATTTACCTAGAAATCAAAAAATATACTAATCAGTATTCTAAAATCAATTTTAAGATATATACGATTATTTTTAATTTAGGCTAATTTAAACTCCATTTTGAGATTATATTCGACTGTATTTCACCAAACATCAGGCGGCATCCGAAGCTGGAAATCGAAGCGAAAATTTTGAAACCCTTATGTATATTTACATCATTATATATTTCTTACCCCACCCCCACATGATCCTATATCCATCACCAATCGTATACACATCGAATTGTGCTAATTTACTACAAAGTTACGCAAAGCAGCATCTATCTAAAATATGTACTGCGTGACTCTTAATACGTCCCTGCCGAATGTTACAGCGTTCGATGATCACGTGGTCTTGTTTATGTCCGGTCTATCTCTTATCTGAATATAATTAGAGAAAGCAGAGCAGTTGGTCCAACCGCATATCATTTATGTTTTTAGGTTACGAATCAGACGCCAGTCACCATGACAGTATCTGAAGGTCACTTCAAAGTAGTTTCAAGGTTAATAAAAAAAAGTCTAGCATGCATATAAGGTTTTGAGTTCGGTAAGTAAAAAATCACAAAATAGCTTGTCTCTAGGAAAGCATTTAAAGCCTATTGCAAAGAAGAAACCAGTTATTTTTCGAAACCATAAGAGATTTTTCTCTTACAATGTACAGGCAATAGTGGATACAAATAATGGGTGATTTTTTTGCTAGTACCTTTTTGGCAACACTGTTTTTGACAGATGACGCGTGAATCGTGTCTTGTGTCATTGTCAAAATTGTTCAGTTTGGTCCATAATTTAACCATGAATCGACGAACGAACAACGCTTGCAAATTATTGAATTTTACTATCAAAATTCATGCTCGGTTAAGAGAGTGCATCGAGCACTGCTTCCAATTTATGGGCAATTTGGTCGGCCTACTGAGGGAGCTATTCGGAAGCTTGTGACTAAATTTCGAACCCAGTTTACATTATTGGACATTAAACCAACAACATGCAGACGTAGAGTGAGGACTGAAGAAAATATTGCGGCTGTATCCGCCAGTGTTAGTGATGATCGTGAAATGTCGATTCGCCGCCGTTCGCAGCAATTGGGCCTCTGTTACTCCACTAGGTGGAAATTTTGCGACAGGATTTGGGTGTCAAACCTTATAAGATACAGCTGGTGCAAGAATTGAAGCCACAGACCTCCCACAACGTTTCCAATTTGGTGAATGGGCGCTGGTAAAGTTGGAGGAAGATCCATATTTTTATCGAAAAATTTTGTTCAGCGACGAAGCTCATTTCTGGTTGAATGGGTACGTTAACAAGCAAAGTTGCCGCATCTGGAGTGAAGACCAGCCAGAAACATTGCAAGGGCTACCCGAGCATCCCGAAAAAATCACTGTTTGGTGTGGATTATGGGCTGGTGGCATCATCG